CGCGGGTATTTCCCGCTGCCGGCGCCTTCCTTAAACCGCCTGTAAAACCCGTAAATCTTTGACATTGACCGCGAGTCCCCCTTACTGCTGCTAAACTTGACATAGAAGATGAAAAACATTTCTTGTTATCATGTCCTTATTACTCAGAAGAAAGGTCTAAGGTTGTTGAAAGACTCTATTCGTCAGAAAATATTAGCTTACACGACAAAAATGAAAATGAGAAATTTTTAATGATGACAAATCCTCCAAAACCACTACAAAAAGCAATAGCAAAATTTGTATTTGAAAATTTTGAAAAACGAAAAACCTTCATCGATGCGTTGGGTGGCCACTAAGTTTAAGATTCTCGATTAATAATAATTTGTAATCTTTGTCATCTTTGTGTTGTTTAGTTTAGTTTATTGTCTTTTAAGCCAATGTAAAACTGATTTACACGGTGACAATAAATTGCCTTTTGCCTTTACCTGCCACCAACAATATATCGGTTCACTTTCAATATAAACGCTTTTTTTTTTTTTTCGATATTAATTCCAGTGCCCCACGAATATTGTGTACTGCAGCTTCAAACGCAGCAACAACATCGGCAGCGATAACGGCAGCACAAATGACCAGTAAGTGTGGTAAGTAGAATAACAGTATTTTCCCTTGCATTGATAAATCACTATATGTGTCATAGCTCGGCTTTGCTAGAGTAAAAAGAAAAGTCATTAACCCTGTATTTTTAAACCAACAGCAACACAGTCGCAACATCAACAACAACACCAACCAGACGCATGGTAAGAACATGGTTGACAATGAAAAACCATAGTCATTCTAACTCAGAGGCAGAAAAAAGGAATACCAGAAAAGGAATGAAAGATTTGTTTTGAAGAGTTTCACTATGCTGACGAATAGCTGAGGACGGAATGATAAGGAATATAAATTCCTTAGGGTCGAGAGAGCTGTCTTCACTAATCATCAGCATATTATAAGGAAAACCCTTCCAAAACAATGTCCTCTATATATTTTTTCAATTTGTTAGATCAAAAGCAAATTTTGATACCACTTCATCATCATTTTTTAATAAGAGTCTGTTTTAGTCCCACTGTTAAAATACTGATTTCTCTAGGTGAAATTTATGTTTAAACATCGAAGTCTTGGTCTATAAATATCTTGAAGGATAAATCACTGCAAGAGATTGTGTGCACAATATTAATCACGCATTAAATAACAATTGAACAATTAGCATTGAACAGTTATATCTGCTAACAAACTCATCTCCAGCCTCTTGCTTGTCTGGTTTCTGTGCAGATGCAGCTAGGGGTGGTTCACATGAAGGTTAGCCATATACTACTTTGGTCCATTATTAGGGACCTTAAGCTGCAGGACGGCAACGTGGGCGACAACGTCGGCGAAATTGAGGCGCTTCAACCTATTGTATTATTATTTCGTGTTTACCAAGGATTGTACTCAATAAGCATCCCCGTTTTAGAGTGAAATGATGTCTTTTGGGAGCGCTTTACTTATAACGAAAATCAGCAAAGATAAGCTTTTGGCGTAGCCGTTTTCTTTATTACGTAAAAATAGGATATTTCACGTCTTACTTTCAGCATCATAATACGGAAATGATGCACAGCATTTCGTACATTCCAACGAGTAACTATTGAATAGCGCAATTAGTGCTATAGAATGCTTGCAGTCGTCGTTGTTGCCGTCGTGCAGCTTAAGGTCCTTATTGTAGAGCAGAGTAGCCTACATAAATGAGTGAAATGACTTTGTTAGAAAACAAAATTGTATAGGGCTCCTTCCATGAAGATTCACTCCACTTGTATGGCTATGTTTACGACATGATCCCCTATTGTTTTCTATTTATGTGAATGAGCTACCCAACTGATGCCTAATTAACCACCGCACTAGCGTAACATTATTTGCTGATGACACAGCTATTTACTGTTCTCCAAAATCAGTAACAAAGTTACAGAGGCTTTTGAATGAAGACCTACAGCGCTTTGCACAGTGGCTTCCAAACCACAGACTTACTCTGAATATCAAATCTAAATTTAAGTGATTATTGGGGGAACGAAGAGACAGTCCCATACAATCAGCAATGGAAAAAAACAACACACAAACGAGACTAAGTGTGAGCAAAGACAACTCAAAACTGGAGTATTAAGATTACCTTATGTAGCATGCTTTTTTAAAAAAAACAAGTTTCAAAGAATAGTATTTCTATTCGTCTTCTTGTAACGGCCTTCTCTGTCATCGAGGACGTAATTTTTTAGATTAATCATTTTGAGGTGGCATGTAGCACGAAAACGTTAACGGTTAAATGGAAAATCCCCATTTTTGAAATACCCATAATCAGCAATACACGACTATTCTAAGTTTGGGGGAAATACCAATAGACCCTTTTCGAGTTACAAACACCAACACCAACGTCCGCCCTTTTTGCCCTTGCATGGATAAATCACTATGTGTCATAGCTCGGCTTTGATTGGTTGCATACATTATTCATAATTCTATAAATGTTTTTTGCCTCTGACTATTTTTGTATTTGCATGCACTAATAAATGTCTATGTCTCATGGCTGCTTTGCTGGTAAAGAAAAAAGATTATTGGCCTTCTGTATTTCGAAAACAACAGCAACGATATCAACCACAACGGCTGCAACACTATCAGCAGCAACCATAAGTGTGGGGATTCACAATCACTATATAATACGTTTATGGAAAAATTCAACCATTTTGCAATGTTTTTTCGAAACAAATCCAAAACGAGACATAAAAGACCGTACGAAGAGCGTCCATCTACAAAATATGAAAAATGACATTTCTTGAACTTATATATTAGGGGAAATATACGTGAAGGGTTCTAATTCAGAACGACTTTCAAGGGCACATTTACCTATATATTTCACTGAACATTAAGGCTATTTTCATTATTAGTACAACAAATTACTACAACACGATTCAATGCTTAGATTAGCTAAGATTATCTTTTGTAGCTTGTTTTAAAAATAGATTTTAAGTTTTCAAAGAATGCATGATATGACTTTTATTTGGCTTCTGGTGACATTCATATCTGTCATCGAGTACATCGACGTTTTTTCTTGCCACAAACAGAAAACGTGACCAAGGTTTTGTCGTTTTCGTCCATTTCACTTTATCTTTTTCAAACTTTCTCGCCAAAGATAATATTTTTTTGTTTATTATTTACCACTTTGAGAGTTTTTCGATTTCTTTTCACTAATCTTAGATAGTTTTTCACTGATCCCGACTGACGTTTCAAGTTTGCCGTACAAGTGAATCTATAAAGTGTGAAAATGCAAGTATAAAATTTGCGCTATTTCACTATGACGTCACTTCTTGTTTATGTGGGGGATAGAATCGCCAAATCCAATAGAAAATTCAACAAAATTTGCTCCTAGCGAAACAGTTTAATCTAAAATGGCCTGGTTTTCAGATATAAATTGTTGATTTGACCCCCTCCGAAGACCATGATCCTTTGCGTTTAAACAATAGATTGTTTTGATGTGACGTCATAGTGCAAAAAAAGGTCATATCATCCAAGCTAAGACCGAAGGGGAGCATGGGAAGACAAACAATTATGTTAATTTCATGCATATTGCAGTTTTCCCTTCCTGTGCACATTTTATGCATCATGACTTTGGCATGTTGTTAATCTAGGTCGACCAACTTTGCTCTACTGTGCATTATTACCTGCCTATATGCAAATATAATATACATTTCGGAGAACCCAAAATCCTTTTCGGTCTTAGCTTCGATAATGTGAACTTCTCGAACCCATACATACATACATACATACATACTCTATTTGTTACAAGGGTGGCCCGGGGGAAATAGTGATATCTCTTTTTGTGTGTATTTTTTTCCTATAAAAGCCATGCAAGTGATGTAAAAGCTACAGCCACCAAGAAGAAGCCTCAGGGATTGCTCTTTTATTCAAAATTAGTACTAAAGTTAAAGTAAGTATTGTAATATCATTAGCCAAGGATTGTCTTTGGCATTGACCCTGCAATCAATCTGGTGAATTTGAAAACTCTAATTGTTTGTTTTTTTAATTTTATTTTAGTTCCTGTAGCTTATTAATATCGCCTGGTGTACGGGGGCACGGGGGCACGGGGGCANGGACGGGGGACGGGGGACGGCGAACTTAAAAGGGCGGGGATGCTCTTCGTACCTTTTAGAGTGTCACAAATCTAAAAGGACCTAAGCCTTTAGGGTGTTTGACATATATCTGAGATTACTGTCACTATAGGAGTCCCCCCGCGGGGTCCATCGTAGGCAAAAAGAAAGAGTCTTGTTTTTAGTTTTCATTCGATTGGGTTTCCTGTGTAATGACGCCCGCGATCTGCTGTTGTTATTCGTGGCATCAAATGAATCAAAGATGGCGGATGATGACTGAGAATATTTGCACATGATTATTGTTAATAAATAACGATATGGGAGCTAAACCATCCTCACTTAGTGATTTACAACACAACCCCGTCCTTCAAAGGCTGACAGGGGAATATTGTGTGCAAGAAGACAAAGACTTTTGGGAAGAATTGCTTTCATTTTCCTTTCGTCCTCCTTACAATAGGTATGTACATCAACGTGTTGAAATTATTAAGCTTCAAAAAAACTATTGAACACCTTTTGACGTAACAAGTCAAACAGAATTCAACATAACGTCTCACGGTACTGCTTTCTTCGTGTATTTTTAAATATTTCCCAAGAAATAATGCCTTGTTTTCGATTTGGATTCTCTATTATACATGTATGTCTAACTATGTATCAATACTATGTATCTAATATAGTGCTGATGCCAGACTGTTAGAAGAATCAACACAACATATCTGTCAATCATTAGGTAAGATCTAGACTTAATTCAGCTCATTTGTATGATTCTACATGTGATTCTAAAAGTACACCCATTAATTTGTTATCCATGACGCGCGGCATACTTAATCGATAAATTCTATAATCGATATTGATCAATGTCAATCAATGTCAGTCAATTGATTTATATTCGAAATCAATGATCAATCGATGACCCACATAGTTGTGACCTTTTATTGATATCCTTTCTTTCTCTCACTGCCAGCAGGGTGATTGATTAGTAATCGACCATTGACAAATGTTAATTGCTATTAAATATATTAATAGATGAAAATTAATTAATAAGTATCAACTGGTTTCTGTCAATAATTGACAATCAATTGATATTCACACATATTTCTTCCGATTATTACATGAATTAGTATCGCTTGATATAGATCAGTGTCAGTTTTTGAGAATTTTTGGTTTATATGTAAGTAGATGTTAGCCTCAAGGCTATCAAAGATTTGAATTCCCAGGTTTCAGAGTTAATAGAGCAGAAATGTACAGACATTCTGTAGTCGAAAACTGTCATTTAATGGGCACAAAGAAAGAGATAAATTATATAATAAATTAATATAGAAAAATCCGAGCAGATACAGCTTACAGTACTAGAAGATGATAGAACAAAAATAAAACTCTTGACATTATAATCTGTTTCTTTCATAATAACATATATACTGTACGTACCTGTATGTGTATCAATGATTGATACTTTTTTTAAAGGTTTGAATGAATTTTTTTGGGGAAAAGATAAACGATTGCAAATTGATATCAATCAATGGTAATCGATATCAAATGATGGTAATTGATGTCTACAGTATCAACAAAAATTGTTATTGATTGATTTTCTGATGATAGATTGTCATTGATTAAGTAGGCCAGGATGACAATAACGGTAACCAGCCAATAGCATCTGATATTGATATTAGCTGGACTATTTTAGCTGGTATCAATTGTGCCGAGCTTGGCAATGTTAGTGGATGCTGGTAATGTGCATGATTGATTATACAAAATAATGCAAAAATGTCAATTTATTGCAACAGTCGTGCATGTACACCCAATAGAGGTGTTTCCTAAGATACAGTAGGAAATAATATGGCAAAGCTAAAGTCATACCTCAGCCACACTGTATCTGTTATTGGATGAACTATTGAAACAAGACCACATCAAAACAGCTTCACAATATGCTATGAAATTAAAAGTGTCGGCCATCAATTATACCTTAATATTTAGGATTCTTTTAGTCAAGACTGTTCTGTCCTTTTATTTCTAGCAAATCATAACTTGAAGTCTAAAAATTTTGTGTTGCTGGTAAAAGAGTTTATTAGAAGAGCTGCTGAGTTAAAAGTTGAAGAAAAATTCAAAAAGTAAGTAGATAATGCTTGGTAGAGTGGAACCTGATTAAACGGCCAGCAAAGAAACAGGCAATTATTGTGCCATTATCAGCCATTTTTCAGTATGAAGCTGGTTTTGGATATGACCTGTATGGCAACGCTCACATGGTTTAATACAACCTTTGAAAAAAATCACATGATGGGGGTCAGATGGGTAACCTTGTCCAGCCATCCTCATTTATCTGCGCTGTATTTATTAATTTTAGCAGGATTTTTTAGCCTTTTTTACAACAAAAAAAGGTCAAGATGAAGGGTTAGGGTAAGGGTTAGTTATTGATTGAGTTAAGTCAGCCAAACAGGAAATATTTGGCTTTTGGTCATTTGTATAGACCTCATTGGCTCAGTCTATACAGCATTACCTGGAGCCAAATATTTATATTTTCAATGTATAAATGGGTATTTGGTCAGGACCTACAAGACTGTTTGACAGTAGTAACCAGGTGGGCTTATGGATGGCGTAGAGCAGGGTTCCACTGTAAAAACAAATACACTAAATTGATAATTTAGATTATAAATACTTATGTCTTACTACCATTCAACTCTGGCTAACATAACTTTAAAATATATGTTAATGTATGTTAATATATGTTAATTTATGTTATTTACTTAATTATGTTAATTGCTTAGTTAATTTATTAATTTATTATGTTTCAGCTTTGAGTTGGTTTGTGAATTGTACAATGCCCTTCTGCTCATCCGTAGTTTTTGCAAATATTTCATAGAAGTTTTACCTTCTAAAGACATCATTTTACACTTTGGGGGATCAGTAACATGTTCTGTTGATAAAGAAACTGGGAAAGAACTTATTTCTTGTACAGGTACTTATTCTCATCATGTTAATGTATGTACTGTAATGAAGTATATATTTAGGGCAATCACTCTCAGCAAGGGGCTCTTCCAAGAGGTCACCCATGCTACTATACAACACTCAACTTACATGTTGATCCTTGTACAGGTTGTCACACACATGCTACACTATACAACACTCAACGTACATGTTGATCCTTGTACAGGTTGTCACACACATGCTACTATACAACACTCAACGTACATGTTGATCCTTGTAGAGGGAGGAAAACTGGAGAAGTTGAAGAAAACTTCTTGTGTCAAGGAAGGGAATAGCATACTAAACAAACATAACTTGCATATGTATTTTCATGTATACAATAGTAGTTCTGCCAGGATTCAAACTCTCTACCCTAGGAGTGAACTACACAGCATGTTGTGAGAGACAGCACAGTAACACCCCATGCCACCCCAAACTATATAGAGGTGTATAGCCTGCGCAATTCTTGTTTGTATTACATGACATATAATGTTTTACATATATAATCAGACTTGGGGATGACAGAGGATATGCTGTATGGGTTGTTCACTGTCTTACATGACATTCCAGTCTGGTAAGTACCAAAAGATAATGCAAGTTGGATTTGCAAACTGTATTTAAAAAGTCATTCTTGATCGTTATGAATAACTGTACTGAGAGTGTGTGGAAAACAGTGTGGAGCTGTGTGGCACAAGGCACATACAGTCACAGTGCAAATTGATGGCATCGTTTGGACCAATCACAGCTGCCCATACAAAGATATATTCTTAACTGATCAGTGCTTATTGAAACAATAGTCCTGACAACAACAGTTGCTTGGTGGTAGTCCACTGTGACTGCTGCATACAAATGAAAATGTTGCTAACTACTAACAATGATTTTTTTCTTTATTTTACTTGATCTTCCAGTGAAGAGACATATGCTGTTCACATTGAAACAATAAATACACTTTTAGTTTTACTCTCTGAGCAAATGTTTGACATATTTGCATCAAGCAACAGTATCTTTTACCATGCAATCATGAAGGGCAAATGGTGAGTCAGGACATGAATGTGTTTTAAAGATTTAACTTAAAATATGTGTAGGTGTAAAATGCAATAGGGCACCTACAGGATATGAAACCCTAACTCTAGTTATACCCAACCCCAAGTATTCTCTAAAACCATTTCCCACAATATAATACCTAAAGTATGAAAAAGTATAAATAGAAAAAAAATATGTCTTGCTTAGCTTCCTTACTCTTAGTATTTTTTTTCATTTTCCCTCTTTAATGCAGATACTATATTGCTTCCTTTATCGATGAACCAATGTCTTGTAGTTTTCCTTGCTAACTGTTGCTAAAATTTCAGAAGAAACCATAATTCTTACTGTAACCTCTGAAAGGATATTACATAAAGGTATAGAGGGTAAAATAAGAGTTTATAAATTTTGCCTGTGACATTTTATGTTTCAGTCGCCATAAAGCAAAATATATTGTTCATGTTTTGCTACACAATTATGTCGCACAAGAGACAAGCCCCTTAGACTTGACCACAGATAATACTGCATGGTTTCGTGAGTAATATATATGATTGAATTAGTCTACAATACAGACTGTCATTTTATTATTATAAGTTTGTTAATCATTCATTGGGTGTTAACTAACCAACATAATATTGCCGTACATTGTAAAAGAATAATGTTTATTGAAAGCATGAATGGCATTATTATATTGAAGAATTCAGGTTATAATAATTGGGGTTTCAACCTTGGTGTATCAACCTCATTGTTACCTTCTATTGTGCTTTGTTTAGTTTTAATACAAGCTTTGTTTTGGAGTATTGTTGATGTTGTTCACAGGTATTTATGCCAGGGTTTGGCATCCTGTGCTGATCTGTTAGGCCAAAAGGGCATATCTACTTCTAACTCACAATACATGTAGAACCTTGAAATTTGTTCTGATCTATGTTCAGGCATGGCCAACTCATTATGATAATTGCTTTCTTCATTACATTACATAACAGCAAGCCTTTGGTCCTGGTTTGGAAGTCCATCAAGTACAGAAGAAGACCAGTCTGATTCTCTGCTGGCTAACCAAAGCTTACTTCTCTTACTGATCCTTGTCAACCATTGCACACAAGATAAAAGACTATTGAATCCTTACAGACATTCACTTTTTACCTTTACTGATTCCAAAGGTATTGTAGTTTAGGTTTGGATTTAAGTTTAACAAATAGATATTAATTTTTTATGTGTCTGCCTCCTATTGATGATAAATTGCAACATCACATTGTCAAAGTAGTATGAATTCACGAGGCTAGCTGAGTGGAACTGCATACTACTTTGACAATGCGATGATGAAATTTATCTCCAATGAGAGGATAGACACATAAAAAACTAATGGCTATTTGTTTTTTACAATAACAAAAACGATAAAAACTTATTTTTAGTGATCAAAACAACCAACGGAAAGAGCGTGCGCTCGTTGATGTCAGCTTTATCTGTCTGTCCTCTTATTCAGGGTTCCCAGGGATCAAGGAAAAGTCAGGGAATTTTAATTTTCAAAATGGCTCTGTCTGTCCTCTTATTGATTATAAAAAATAACCAATCAGCGCACAAGAAATTTGTAAGTTATTGTAAAAAATGCCACTGATAGACTTTATTAATATGTCTGATGAGATGGTACTTATATTTATTCATTTTGTTCATAATTAGCTGTCAGTCATGTTGGGTCAGACAAGACAAGTGATAGTTCATTCCAGTTCAATCTGGAACGACTTTATTCCACTCTCTGCAGGTAACAATTGCAGTACTCTGAACTGAAATATGATAAACATTTGGCATTGAAACAATACAAAACATACATACACATCATCCAAAAACATAATAGTATTAATTTCAAAGTACAGTAAAGCGCTGCTCAACAATACTTCTATAAGTGCAATTCATATAACATCAAACCAGCACAGCAAGCAAGCTTATTTTTCATATGAAGAGAAAATTACTGACAATAGCCATGATTTTGAATAAAAAGTGCACACCCCAACCAATCAGAAAGCAAGATTTGCAACAGTTACTGGTATTTTGCCAATATTTTCTTTAAACATTCTTAAACTGTGACTTTGCTCTTCCAGTGATCTTCAACATGATCAAACTACATTGTTACTCTATCTGCTGTTGCACAGAAACCCAAATGTATCATCATTTGTTTTACCAAGAAAAGATATTGATCAGCTAGTGAGTATTTGCATTCATTAAGAAACACTCATTATCAAACCCTGAAACAACCTCTGGGCTGATCTAAGTCAGGGCATGGCTAACTCACAGATTGAACCCTGTAACAACCTCTGGGCTGATCTAAGTCAGGGCATGGCTAACTCACAGATCAAACCCTGAAGCTACCTCTAGGCTGATCTAAGTCAGGGCATGGCTAACTCACAGAACAAACCCTGAAGCTACCTCTAGGCTGATCTAAGTCAGGGCAGGCACAGATTGAATTGGAATTTAGAGTGTCTTAAATTTTGCCAAAAAGAACCTCGAGAAAAACCAAGGGAGAGACTTAATAACAAACTTTACTTGTAACAAGTCCACTACCACTGCGCTACCCTGGATTTCCTCCTTAAAGGAAAATGCTTCCTTACCCTGTTTCAGCTGAGGACAAATGAAAATATAATAATCCACAGGAAGGGTGGTGTTTTAAAATTAACACACGTGTCTTATCTCTTATAGGTGTTACCCATTCTCGAACTTCTTTACAGTGCAGAAGATCACAATGCACATCACATCTACATGTCACTTATCATCCTACTCATTCTCAGCCAAAATGACCACTTTAACAAATCTGTGCATGAAATAGTAAGTAAATTTTTACAGCTGATAATAAAGATCAAATAAATGATGAATATACATTGTACTCACCCTTGCCTGTATTCGTAAATACCAAGTAGATATTAGGAAACACTTTTAACTTGCACTTGAAGGAATGTTACTGCATTGAGGGGGGACTCAGATAATGGAGAAAAGCAGGGATGCTGATCTTACCTCTTAGGATGAGTCTAATTTGGTACCTCTTTAGAAGTCAAAAAACTGAAAGAACCACGTGAGAGTAAGCTGGTACATCTTAGGGTGTTTGAGAGATGATAAGATACCCAAGATAACAACAGCTGAAGTAACAGCTATAATTTATATTAGTTCGTTTTATCAACCATAAATTAGAATAAATATGATCCAAGCTTTCTTTTTTCTTTCATCGTCTGACTTTTTACAACTATCATTTCCCCCCCCCCCCCCCCCCCCTCCCCATTTTATACACGGGAGTACGCGTTACATTACGCCAACTGCTTTTTTTCCCAACAGACAATAGCAACAATCCCTTGGTATACAGAGAGAGCGATATATGACATCACTTTAGGAGGGTTACTTGTGCTTGTGGTCCTTCGAACCATACAGTATAACATGACTAAGATGAGGGTAGGTAAACAATATTCTCTCAATAATCCATGAACAATAAATATAATAAATCTTGGTTTTTCCTTATAAATTGTTTTCCTCTATTTATAGGATAAATATTTACACACAAACTGCTTAGCAACCCTTGCCAACATGTCATCTCATTTCCATGCCCTTCACCCATATGTGACGCAGAGAATTGTAAGGTATGTAGTGTAGTGATCATTATGTTACATTCTAGACACCACAACTGAGACCATCTTCAAAAAAACTTTCAATTTTATCAACACCCAAAACAACATCTGGGAATCATCCACCAGAGACCCCAGAGGTTGACCACTCTTGAGTCCCAAAGTGTTATTCAATGTTGTTGATGACATACACTCCCAGATTCTTTGTTTTCCTTCCTTGCTGAATGCTGATTGGATTAAAGTGATTGTTTTCACTCTTGGTTGTGATTGGTTAACTTTGTTAATGTGGTCTCAGTGTGTCTGCAACGTAATCTGGTTTGATTGGTATTTTTCATCTATACAGTATGTTAATTGCTTATGGTTATAATAATATTATATCTTATTAGCCTCTATGCTCTTCTATCAAAAAAGCATGCAAAAGTATTGGAGCTCATGAAAGAAAAACCTACGAAAAACACACAAGCAACGTCAGAAAACAAGGATTCAACAGATTACGTAAGTCTAGAATTTTGTCTTGATAAATTAACGAAGGGAAAGAGACCATTTATTTTTATCAGGGAGAATAAGGGATGGGATCCAGTGGGTAGTTCACCACATTCACAAATCTTATCCCCCGTCCATTTGTTAGATAAAATGCATGTCTTACAGGTTGCAGATCTGGCTATTTTGGAAGAAGTGATTCGCATGGTGCTAGAGATCATAAACTCTTGTGTAACTAATACTTTACACCACAATCCCAACTTGGTTTATACATTGCTTCATCGACGAGAATTGTTTGCTCAGTTCAGAAGCCATCCAACTTTTCAGGATTTGATTCAAAATATAGATACGGTGAGTCGAATGCAAAGTAAGTTATTCACACACACATAATAAAAAATAATAATACGATTTATATTTATGAATAAAAGATTTAATCTAAGTCACATTGGTGAGAGGCGGCACATTAGCAGCACATGCCACCCGTGCTTCCCTTATGGTTGAATATAACTTAGCAGCCAAAGGATTGAAGGCATATTTGCTTGGATATATTTATATTTGCAATTATTTTTACTTTTATTTCTGTTTTTTTAGGTTCTTGCATTTTTTAGTGCAAGGCTTGAACAACACCCTGATCAGACATTATCTGTTGCCGTGGTGTTGGATGTTATTAAACAAGGAACATTACAGTGGCCTAAGGATAGACTTAAGGTATTTATATTGTAATCTTTATCTTATTATTAATCCCGGGATATGGAGCTTTTGTGGGGATTTATTACCTTTTTAGCAGCTTTTTGGGTCCCCACTATGTGGGTTTACACCTCATTTTGTCTTCGCTGCCCATCAGGTGGGGATTTGTTTCGTAAATTCCAACATCACAGCCATTGTTCCCTCAAAGAATTCTAATTTGCAGCAAAAATATGTTGCCAAGCCAAATTTAGTTGCCCCAGGGGGTGGGTCTTTTGCTCTTTACTTACCGCATAATTCTTCCCCATATATTGGGGCAATGGTACGGGCCTCTGGCACCCAGGGTAGGACAATGGTCAGTTTTAGTTCATTACTCTATACTAACCGCTATGTATATCCCAAGGTGGAGAGCGTTGGGTTTTTTACTTTATGTTCATATTCAATAGGCTCTTTTGTTGTAACAATAAACTGCTGTTATCATACAGCTAATTTCTTTTAGTTCAATATAAACACAACTACCATTACATTTCTTTGATATTTTCTGCTAATGACTTCCTTATGGCAAGGTAGCTTTAAATGGAGTTAGGCCTAGGGCAAACGTCGAACTTTCCATGCACCGAACTCATTAAAAACAATKGATATCAGGTGATAATGAGGCGGCATTCTTTGATGTAATTAAGTTCGGTGCATGGAAAGTTCGACGTTTGCCATAGGCCTAAGGTAATTACTAGCCTAGAAACTTGTGTATAACCATTTTTTCTGCTTGATTACCAGAAATTTCCTGAACTAAAGTTTAAATATGTTGAGGAAGAACAACCTGAGGAGTTCTTTATCCCTTACGTGTGGTCGCTTGTCTACAGGCTGTCTTTAATGTACTGGAATCCACAACACATACAAATATTCCACCCTGAAACGTGACCTGAAGAATTGCCAAGTATGAATAGATAGAATAATATGTAAGAATGTATTGATGGCCCACAGGGACTTGCCTAAAGTAGAAGACCAGACTGGGCCTTAAGTTAATTAACCTTGTCAAAACAAATATAAAATGAATGGGGGTCTTTGAAAAATTTAAATGGCATTCATTGTTCTCCATTCCATTCACTTTGCTATTCACATTCTCATTGGTCAAAAACTGAGCTGTAGTGGTGATTTCTATATAAATGATAAAACAAACATAACAGTTTTTTTCCCCATGCTCTGTTCATTAATACTACATTTAGCACTTTAAGAAATGCCAAAAGCACTAGAGAAGTACTTGCCTTTCATCACTTCCTGGATGCTGTGTTACTGAATACAGCTTGCTAAAAGCTGTTGTTTCTTAAGTACAGTATTTAGGGATAGAATTCAGAATATTATTGATAATACAATTATTTTTTATTGCCACCAATAACTTAACTCTGACTTACAGTGCAGCACCATGACCTCATTTAAGGTTATTCCCTTGTTTTGCACTGTGCATTTTTCTGCACATGCAACAAAAAGCATGGAACTAAAAACGTTTAGGCATTTTTCTTTTGGAAACTAAATAAGGGACATGTTCAAACCATTTTTAACTTTTTTCTCTTTTTTGAGTAGAGAAATTAAGATTTTTATCTGACTCGCCCCAGTCTCCACGTTCAGAAAAGTGTCAGTTTTTGAATATTTTGATGTTTTTTCAAGATAAAATTGAAAATGAGAATGGAGACCCCCATTTTTCATTTCAGATTTTTGATAAATGCAATGTTTGGACTCATTATATATCAAAATATGTCCATAACATAATCAATGTCCATGCAAAGTTTCAGGACAAAGTTATTGGCAAAATTTCTTTCAAGGAAATTACCTTAACTCACTGTGCCATGTGCCATTTTGGACTTAAGTTTATGTCATGCTGTAACCTGCTTTTTGACTCAAACTGCTGCCCCCTTCTCCCCTAGAGAGAGATAGGTTACAAACTCTACTCAGACTACTCACATATGATAGAGTCAAAAATCGAAGTGAAGTAACTGCTATGCCATTCTCTTTCTTCGTGGCATAAATATAAGCAGAAATTATGTAGAGTGAATTTAGTTGCAATGTTAACAAAACTTTAAAATTGAATTAGCAAAGAAGTTTATTTTTCTTATGACATCTCTCATTTATTGATGAATACTTGTTGGAGATTTTGAACAGTAGGAAACATATACTTCAAAGGGTTTACTAATATTTATGATGCCTTGGATCTAAATTACAAAAATGTATGAATTCCTGATCTTTAGAGGTTGTTCTGGCTTACCCTGGGATTCAGAGGTTATTTTCTCTCTCCAGCATTTGCTGTTTTAACGGAAAGCACTTCCTTGTTTCAAACACAGGAAGAGAAACTGAACCTCTGGAGCCTAGGGTACATCAAGCTTAAACTAAAATAACAAACTACAACTATATTTATATCGTTTCTAATATAATGTTAAAATTATTAGTATTTTTTCTATAACAGGCATGCTTTAATACAACATTCTGCATGATCTTTTTATTATTATTTACATTGGAATATAAAAACAAGAACAACCTCCAAACAGCATTCATACAAAAAGACTAGTATTGTGACATTAATTTAAGTCATTTTATCTTTGTAGTCTAGATATTCATGGAAAATATACATGGCTAGAAGTGAATGTTTCACAGATATGGTTAGTAAACTGATGGTTTAATGGCTTTACATAAACACCTGGATATGACAAGTAGCATTCTAGTGTACCATATCTCCCACAAATATATATTTTCCATCAATGATCTATTGACCTTTACAGTATGACATTACTTGCTCTAGAAGACCGAGTCCTTGATGATTAAGACACAGCATCTACTAGGCATCTCCATAGCAATATGTCTTGACTATAAGATACAGCTGTAGATATAATTATAGTAACCTTGCCGACACCCAGTATAAAACTCCAACAAAGTTTATAAATCTAGACTATATAAGAAATCTCCAGCGAGAAAGCGAAGCATATATATACCTAAGATAAGTTTAGTACATTATGTTTCATATACAAATATAGTTAGCTAATGCTGGTTTTCAAGCATTCCCAAGGGGGTGAAAAAACGAAAGACATGGCAGCCATGTTGGTTGATATACAATAGAATGATAACCAAGATGACAACTATGATGTTATGTGCTAACAAAGAACACAGGCTGCCAATTACCTCTTAACCCTAGTGAGTTTTGCAGATGATTGGAACTTAAAAGCTGTATCTCTGCAATCAAAGCAATATATTTTTCTTTCTTAAAATTGGACAGAGAATTGCAGTTGACACCACCAACATAGCTTGCAAAGGAATTCAAATAGTAATACGATCTAAATAATGTAACTTTGCAATTTTTAGCGATTAAAAAAAACATTTACAAACTTTACCCAAAAATAATTCTACCCATTTAGTGATTGTGGAAAACACTAATATCCATATCCAACTGATAATAAAAAATAACTCTGAGGGTAAGTATTCTTGGTAGCTATGGTTACACAACAAAGCAATGTCCTCTCTCATGAAAGGCACAAACAATGTTAGTCAATATTAGCCATTTCTAGGTTGAGGAAAAAACTGGGTGAAGTTGGCAGTGAAATGCATTGCGGGACTGTTTAAGGGAACGAAATCAACACCATCTTGGAAATAAATAATAGTTATAACTTTTCTCGAATGCAGAGAAGGGAAGTCACCATGTAAAATGAGATTGGATCTTGGAATCATGATTGTTTCTCGTACTGGAGCGAAGGCTGCGAGTAGATATATAAGGGTGGAATTGTTAAGTGATATAGCGATGAGCTAGCTTATTGAGTGCTTCGTATACAGTTAACTGTTAGCAGTAGTTAACAGTCCCACAATACACTGCAATGCCAAGTCCACCCTACCCAGTTTTAATACTCTCTAGAATATCACGAGGTACTTTTCCTATTGGTTCATACAGGATATTACCTCTGCCTCGGCATGTTGCACCATTTTAAATAAGATACTCACATATCTTTAGCGTTTCAAACTGAAACAAAATGATGTAAACCACAACTGGAAGTATGACAGAAAAGTCATTTGATCATCCTTGTGTCATACATCATGCTCATCATGATCAAACACACAACTAACAGCTGACACCATATTAAAATGTAACATTGTCAGAACTAAGACATGGAGGAACAAGGTGCCGAGGGAGAACCCATCTGTGTCAAAACCTTATCAAGCCATTGCAATGGACCGTTTAAATGTAGTTCTATCCAGCAAGGTGTACTAGTAACTGTTTGTCTGCGATATTCTGCACCCCATCCTTTAACAAATGACATGCGAATGGTACACATTCTGGTGAGTGCGTAAACAGCCTCAAATCCTTGGTTGACTGATTGCGAAAGAAGCTGTGCAAACTCTTGGTTGTTGAATATTTTAAGGTTACATCCAGGAGGGATTTTACAAACAGTAGCCGGATGCCAGTTATATCTCTGGTTACAGTTAGGACTTTGAACAAAAATGCTGCTGTCACTAAGGCACTCTGCGAACACTTCACCTCCAATATAGTACAGCCGTACACCTTTGCCAATATGTTTCCGTGTCATTTCAATCGGTGGATTTCTATTGATGTTAGACAACAATCCAAGACAAAATCGGTCAGAACTTGAAGGATCAGTAAATCCGTCTACGGTTAGACTTGGCTGTGATGCATGAAACGTCTCTCCTACTCTTGTATTCATTTCATAATATGCAATAGAACACCAGCAAGCTGGTTCAGTATACTGAATCGGCTGAGCATCTATAATAAACACAAACAACATTTAATAAACATGAACTACAATAAAAATTTTGTAGTTGATGGATTACTATTTAGTTGTATATCCATAATATTTATTCCTTTCTGTCTTGGAATGGCCTATCGCCTATGTACGGCTTAGGTGTATAAAACATGACAAATAAAACAATACTTGAAAACTTGCTAACCTATGAGAGGAGCTTCTGGTGCTGGAGAAAGCTGTTGATCTAGAACAAAATTGAATATCACAGTAAGTAAATAAACCCACGCATACATGTACATGTTATTACAGATGGTATAGTGTGCATAACAAAGTCATATTGTGTACCAAAAATTATCCATACCCCCCTCACGGAGGAATTTTTTTAAGACACCCCCCTACCCCCCAGAAATTCCAATTTTCTTCCATACAAGCTCTGTATTTTTTGTTCTTTCTCTGACCCCCCTACTCTTTGGAAATTCCACTGTGATGTGGGTATTGATGATTTCTGGAACTACACATTGATAAGAAGAAGAACTTTATTTGTACCCATTATTACATTTTTTGTTCTAATTTGATACATTATTTTATGTTGAACAGATTGAGGGGTACCAACTTCCAAAAATAACTAAAAAGCTAAAAATGCTTGGAAGTCGGTTTACATATTCTTAATTAAAAGTCATTACATTTAACTAATTTAACTGATAACTAATCAGAGAGCTGATTTTCAACAACACAATTCTACTTTCTTCGTCCTACTTTTTAAGATTATTTTGTAAAATATTGCCACAAAAGCAAAGAGATACAATGTGAATAGAAATGTGGATTTTGGTCATCATAAACAAGTGATTGTCAATTCGTAATGTAATTCCAAATTCCATCAATATATCAAAAAAAGGAGGCAGCATGGTCGAGTGGTCATAGCATTGGTGCCTTGTTCTATTCCCACTGTGGCCACTAGCTGAGACTGTATTATGTCCTGATCCGTTCAGATTCAGTTTCTCAACCATGTTTGCCAAATTAACAGTTGGGATTCTCATAAGCACTATGTTTCTATTTCTTCATTTCAGTTTATTCATTCTTCATAGAATGCTGGTAATAAAGTATTATTAAGTATCTTTACCATAACTTTGGCAAAGCACCTGCTAAGTATTAGCTTTAAATTTTGCACTTTGTGTTTTTCAATAAAAATTACTGTATTTCAAACAAGTCACAACAAAACTGATACATTATTATAGATGATGGTTGAATACCTGTTTGCATGTTTTGTTGCTGGTCACCAGACATATCTGAACAAGCATCTTCTGACATATATCCTCCAGTTGGTGTTTCTAAGAACAACAATATATTATTGCTGGATGCATGTACATGGATTTATATCATACAGGGTGTTTCTGGATACAAAATTTGGTAAGTTGTTTTTGGCAAAAGAATAACAACAGTATAAAAATAATTCATAAATAGCATATATGTACTATGTAGTATTTTTTATTATATAGTAAATCTTCATAAAAATCGATTATAAGATATATAAATATATAAAATATGATCTAAGAAATATAAGTATAGTCCATTTCTATTACATCATTTTAACTGAATAGGCTATATTATTTATGAACATGTTAAGGAAATCTAAAAAAAAACATTCAGCTTATATCCAGTGTGAGATTTTACACCGAGTTAAAGGTATTCATACAGATAAAATCATTAGCATGGCAAAATTCAGATTGATTCAAATATTCCAAATTATTTCAGTTTGTAATGAGTCATACATACCAGGAAGTTGAAAGGTGTTTGTTGGTTCTTGCGTTGGAAACGACATATTGTCAGGTCTTGTGTATTCAGGTATGGGATGGAGTTCATGAGGTGTATCTATGGTCTGACGAGGCACCAACACTGCTGGCAACACTACAAATACAAACATAACACACATTATTTAATAACATGATAATAATAATCAGGGTTTAAAAGGGTTTGAAGGTCACTCATTAGACAATATCCAGCCTGAATTGAAACTTGACCAGTCATCTTAACCAGTAATGTCAAGCCAGAATTGACTGATGATCATGACTGGTGACTGATGAGCCGTTGTACATTAAGCCCTGATAATAAATATTTAATAATCTTTAGTCAATTGTTAATAAAGATATCTAGGTTGGAAACACAAGCATATAATAACCGAAACATTCAAACTGAGATTTATCATAGAATGAATAAATTGCTAGTTTACACTCCAAAATCAGTATATTAAATTAATACAGCTGTTCCTGAAGCATTCAGTGTTTATTTTAGGTTTCAGCAAGTTACTGTTTCTAAGTCAGGACTCGTTGAGCAATGTTTTTAAAGATATTTCTATCACAAATTGACTGACAGCCTCGGTTTGAAGGTTTTTGTTTAGGTTCTTTGGTTTTCTTTCCATCACAAAACATAAGCTAAATTCAAAATTAATCTGCTAATTAACTTTGTGTATTCATAGATTAGCCCAGAGTTTGTTTGAAGGTGAAATAAATTCGAAGATCATAATGTTTTCCATTAGACCAGTACACCAGTAATATTAGCACAGTTTGTCCTTAATTGTACTCTACAACACTACAAATTATTATTTCACATACATTAGTCATAAGTATCAATAGGGTACATTCTTGAACACATGTCTGAATGCCTTAGTTTTACATACTTTCTTTATTACAGCATCACCACAGTTTTAGCACAAAAAATAACACGATCTTTTTAGATTGTACAGTAGCAGGATAGTATGCATGGACTATGTCTTCTTGGTGGGGCAGGTGTTGACAGCAACTGACGAATGACGTGGCCCTTTAGATAGCATTGTTATAATCAGATAAGAGCCAGCCAGCCAATCACATTCATCTACACCTCCATAAATTAGTCAGTCATAAACTTCAAAACAGATATACCAGTAGAGAGTTAGTACCTCCTGTAATACACACAAGAAACAAACAAGATCTTCCACACACTAGTCATGCTTAGTCATGCTCTTACATGCCATATAAAGTAACATCACATACATTACATCCACGTTTACACCTAGCATCAAGATACACTCATTCTCTACTGATCTTTTCTAACGAACTCATTTCATATTTTTGAAGCGATTCTAGTAATCATGAAGAAAGAAATAGTTTATGCCTGATTCGTTCCTATGCTCATACATAGTTACGATAATATCATAAGATCTATCCTAGCTAGACAGCCATCTTGATTCTTGTCGGTAATAAGAAAGAAGAAAGAAGAATTCACATACATAAACATGCTTTAAAACACAAGCTCGACAGAAAGAAAATAAAGTAGTGTGATCTCTTGTACAACGTGAAATATATATGTATGTATTTATTCAGGAAAATAGCATTATACATATATAAACATTATCTTGTCTATATGTAGACAACAATATGTACACTATGTACAAAAATTCATCTGAAAATTGTTAAGGAAGAGTTACAAAAGGGTTGAATAGTAAAGCGAGGAGTCCGCACGAGGCGCATAGCGCCATGACAATCGTTCAACCGTGATCTTGTATCCCCTCCACTTATCAAGAAGAACCGACTTGTTTTGATGTTAATAAACAAAATCCTGTGTTATCATTTGTACAAAAAAACTGAAATCTTTATCTGTTGGCATCCATAACGAGCCTAAACGACAAAAAACGACGATCTTAACAAGTATGAAGAATCCATCAGTCAAATACTATAAATATATATCATATCTAATAGAACACCGCACCAAAGGATCATGTACTGTCTCAACAGATCGACATTAAACTGACGATAAAAATACTTAAAGAAATGYTTCAAGGATTGCAATTCCTAACCTAGAATTGTCGTCTAGTTAATGAATATTAGTGAGACGTTAAACACAAGGAGATCGAACGCTCCCCACAGAGGAACACACTACACAAATACTTGTTATTAAACTAAGCCATATTAAATGTACAGAATGTATTGCTATACATGCAATAGGTTTTAATATCATACTCGTTTTAGTTTGCTTGTGTTTTTTTTAGCTTCAAAGTATCTTTTTTAAATTTATTGAATGTTGCACTTTATATTTATCGATGAGTAAAGAACCAACTACAGAATGATCGATGCTTAACGCCGTTAGCTGCGAACACAAACCAAGTTAGTTCAAGTAAAGTTATTGTAGTTAATCATTGTACTTACCCGGGGTTTCTACTCTCTGGTAATGGAAAGGATTCACACAAACTTCGTCTTTTTTCAAGTTAAAAGCGTAATCGCAAGCTTCTATAGGTCGTAATTCATGATGGCTTTGCAAGTCAGGCCATCGCCATAATCTACAGTAAATAACATGCGGCAGGCCTTTTCGATGTGATACTTGTAGTCTTCCATCTAGACTGCGTGGTATAGTAACACATTTAGTAGGGATACCAGGGTTTGTGATGGCTTTTTCTAGCTCTTCCAGGCCGCCAGTCTTTTTGAGTTTCTTCACTAAACTCTTCACGGCTTTCTCGGCCCATTTATCGTCTTCATCGCCTCCTCTTTTCCAGCCAAGCAGCCTTTTTACTACCGGAGGGGTAAAAGGCAACAAGGACGTCATAATAGAGGTTAACAGAAACCGAAATAGCGCTTTTTAAAATGGTTTTTCTGCAGCAAATGGTGTAAAGCAAGGCTGACTCGATGGATCTGCTGCACTGAACGAGCAAACACGAGAGGACTGGACTGACAGGTTTGATTGACAGCTGTAACACATCAATATTAACCAATCAAAAACACGGTTGTATATACCACGCCTACTCCATATATAGAGGTGTTATTGACGTCGAGTGTCACACTATACCCCACTATACTAGTAATATTATCACTTTTGATCACTATTATATTACCACCGTGCACTCCTTATGACACGTCAATCATCGGCCTTTAAATATAAAATACAAAATCCCTTTTGCTGAGAATATAGTTTTTTTGAGTTATCTCAAACGATAGTAATCTGGTATATGATAAAGATGATGATTAGCATGATATAAACGCAATTGTGAACAAGCACAAAACACTCAATGGAAATGAGTCATTCTGTGCAGGGTTATGTCTGGAGCAAAGGACTACACGTGGTAAAAGTGAAATCTTTTCAAACCCACATTAGATTCAGACAAGAAAACTTATTGCAATGAACCATTGTGGGCCATGTCAAGGACTGACTTCCGCTCGACTCCAGACTAGCCAATCAGCGAGCGAGTTGTGATATTAAAGTGCGTATTTTCATAGCACGCAACAGACACACACGACACGCCGACATGTCTAGACGACCACGTGCTAAGATATAACCAATCAGAGTGCTTGTTTTGCTATGTCCTGTCGGCAAGCAACCTTCACTGTGCAATGGTCGATTTTCAAGGTATTAAGAATGCAGCAGGCCTTATATACTTCGTCTAGACATAAAATACTTCCTATCTTCTCTTTACTTGGATTGTTCGTTTCAACAGGGATACGTTTCTTGTAGCTCTCTACTCAAAAGAAGTGATTTCATACCAATGTTATATGTTCAACTTGTTCACTGTGGCCAACTTTCACAATACACATCTGATTCAAAATCTTCTCAAATTCTGTGTCTTAGACGGCGACAAAATAGCGGAACTCAAAGACACGACGAATTCAATCCTCAAACGACTCAAAGTTTGTGAGTTGGGGTTTTTACTGCAGGCTTTACAGTCGAGAGGAGGTGATGTGTCGAGCTGTGTTTTCTATCCGTGTGATGACAGAATCGGCAAACGAATCATACACGAGCCGCATCTCATTGTATATCGAACATTTAGACACCCCGGTATACAGTCTGTGAGCGAACTTAAGCATCTTGCCGTATGTTCACGACATGATGTTACAAATGAGAAAATTTGTATCAATCCGTACCACTACAGTGCAGTCGTACAGATAGGTGAGTATAATGTGATTTGTAAATGTTATAAACTTCAAATGTAATGCGCTTATTGTCCTTCTCCATACATTTTCTTTATTTCAATTTTTATTTTTTCGAAAGAACTTCCAGCTAAAAGAAGTACACCAGTTAAGAGCAAGAATGACACGAAGAGAGAAGAATCTTCTTCAGGTAAGCGTGCCTTCTTGCAGACATAAGTTCTATATATGTTGTCGCTGTGTTATGGTAAAATTTTAATGAATCTGTCTTCGTTCGTGCAGGTTTTGTCAGTAATTATACGCCGTCTACATCGATGGAACCAACTGTATCGTCCATGCCTTTGTCCCTGACAGGTACGTAAAACACAATCTTGCCTCGTGTATTAAAATAGCTATAATAAATGGCTAGTAGCCAGTACAGTACTGTATATAAATACATCGGCCCTTGGAAGAGATCATGTGTGTGTGTGTTCTACATTACCTACCAGACACTTCGAGTTTTCTTGACAAACTCCTTCTAGTGTCAAATTTAATATATAATTTGTACAAGAGTCTGTATTAAGTGTCTTGTTTTTCATCGGTACTATTCTAAAAAATTCCTAGAACACCCAAGAAATCCTAAAGAATGGCCAAAACGTAGTTGGTGTTGTGTTGCTTATTGGGAGCATAACGATCGTATTGGTCCACTCTACCATCAGTATCAACACCACAACATTCTAAATATATATGAATCTCTACCCGTATCAAACAAGGCAAAAGGAATGTGTTTAGCCGCACTATACGGAGATTCTATTGCTTCCGACACAACAAAGAGAGTAAGGAATCATATTGGTTTTGGACTTCAACTTTCAAGGGAAGAAGATGGTATTTGGATGTATAACAGAAGTGATTTCTCGCTGTTTGCTAACGGACCAACGTTATCTGAAAGAACTTCTGAATTCACTTGTAGACATAATACTATTGTACATAAAGTACCTCCTGGATACTCGCTAAAACTCTACGATTATACCGAAAGTCCGCGAACTTGCCAGTCTTATGGTGACGATGTAAAACTTTCCGTGCCACACAGTGTGAGGGTTAGTTTTGCTAAAGGATGGGGAAATACCTGTTCCACTTCTTACCGCAGACAGTTTGTCACGTCATGTCCATGTTGGATCGAAATTCATTTCGTTGTCTGAATATTGAAGCGGACGACCTAAGGTTTAGTTATTGTAGCATATCCAATAAAATTATATATTATGCATATATATATATATAATTTGCAGTATTTTTGCAAGCGCTGCATATATGTATATGTGTGTGTGTGTGTGTAAGTGTGTGTGTGTGTGTGTGTGTGTGTGTGTGTGTGTGTGTGAACTGTGCTTGCAGAAATATTGCAAATAATATATATATATCAATATATCGATATATCAGGTGCATTCTGGGTAATTTCCAACTAAAAATAGCTTTAATGAAGGTTTATTACAACTTTATGGTAAAATATAACCAAAGTGTACAGTGTGAGCATTAATACTAGATATCTGGCCAAGTTTTGATTGGAAATCGCTTTATTTAAATAATCTTGAAATATGGATATATCGATATACTTCAGTTTTGCATATGTATATTTATATTTATATTTATAAAATATTTGAGATATAACGAGTGCACTGATTGGCTGGCTACCTCATTTATATCAGAGGACAGAAACATGTTTGTGCAAAATCATTCAAAAATGTTTTATAAAAGCGATATAAAACGTCCGCTTGTGTCTATATGCTGTGACATAAACACGATGGGAGCTGTAGAGCACTCGAGAAGTCAAAGAAACACTTGGCTACGCCTTGTTTCTATACAACTTCTCTCTTGCTCTACAGCTTCCAACGTGCTTATGTCATAGTATATAGATGCGCACCGTTTTATATTCCTTAAATATATATATATATATATATTATACAGACATATCTGTCATGTCAGCAGCCCCTAACAGCTTAGAACCACTTCAAAAGTTTCTGTTGCCTCTTTATGCTATAAAACACAGTATTTGAACCATGGTTGTCAAAGATCATAATTATGCTAGTTATATTTGTATATTTCATTTTGGTCAACCTTCTTGGGATTGACTGTATGTTTATATATATATATATATATATACATATATATAGTCAATCATCTGTGGCTACTTTGGATAAATATATACAATTAGATAGACATATATTATATATATAGATAGACATATAATTTAACAGAGAAATTCAGAGAGATTCTAGTCTTTTCCAATATTGATTGGTAAGTTCAATGTAATACAGAGTAGCACTTTTCAAAGTGAATAACTTCCATGACAGTGAATTAATCGGATCCAATTTTTTTGCATCTGAATTAGAACATTTTTATAGGTAATCCTGTACTTGTGTTTGTGTGAGCTGTCTTTTCTAAAATAAAACATCACTTTTATGATCCCTAGGACCTAAATTGACAATCATTTATTCATAAACTGTTTTCAGATTCATGAGATAGGCTTGCTATTAAAATCGTCTCCCACAGACATCGTAGACTAAACAATTCTTTTTGTGTTTGATCATGGTAAATTGACCTTAATCAATATATATGGCTGGAAAAAACAATTATTATTTTCTTTAAGGGTTTTTAATACTTATTGATTTATCCCATATTCTCCCCTCCTCCCCTTATACCTCCCCCCATCTTTACTTGAAACGGTTCACATATTCCTTCCTCCTCCCCTGGTACCTCCTCCCATTCTCACCTGACATGTTTACCATATTCTCTCTCCTCCCTTGGTACCTCCCCCCATCCTCACCTGACATGGTTACCATATTCTCTCCCCTCCCCTGGAACCTCCTCCCTTGGTAGCTCCCCCAATCCTCGCCTTACATGGTTACCACATTCTCTCCTCCTTTCCTGCTACCTCCCCCATCCCCCCATCACTATTCAGACATTGTTCTTGTTAACAATAAGTTTGTAATACTCGTAGAATGGATGTAGAATGGATTCTTTTAATAATTTTGAGTATTTTTTTGCTTGTTAACTGAAGATTCATGGTTGCCATAAACGAGATGATCAAACTCTATTGCTGGAAAACAGAGGCCAGATACCGGCTTCCATGCATTCATTCTGCTTATAAATGAATATCAGTAATGGATGGTTGAAGCCGGACAATCCCCACCCACTTTGGCCACAGCTAGAATAAAGAGAGACAAAGAAAAGAAAAAATATTTCTTTTGGTAGTATCGTATCTGATTAATCTTTGACAACTTTGAATATATTTCTCTTGCAATAAGGATATCCATGAGTAATAACATTCAGGAAGGCCAAGCGGTCTACGGCGTCAAACTCAAGGTTAATCCTTCCTAAGTTGCTTGGGAGCAGGCGTTCTGGTGTCCTAATGGAGTCGTGGGTTTGAATCCCACTTCTGACATTTAGAGTGGCATGGGTGGCGTTCGCGGCTAACGCGTCGTCTTTCACCGCAGTGAGTCCTACGGGTCGGGTCTCAGGTTCAAGCCCTGCGGTCGCCACATGTGAATTGAGTTTGTTTGATGTGTTGTTCTCTCCTATGCTACGAGGGTTCTCTCCGGGTTCTCCGGTTTCCTCCCTCCGTAAAAATCAACATGTTAGTTGAGCGTTGTGTGCATAGAATATTGAATGGGGAAGTGGTAGTTCGCGTGAGCGAGAAGTGTCCCCAATTAGTGCGAATGCGCTAGAACGACTAGACACTCAAATAGAGATTTTTATTTCTTTTTTTTTTTTTTTTTNTTTTTTTTTTTTTTTTTTCATGCTTATCTTTTGTTAACTCAGTCCGTCGTTCTCAGTAGAACATATTTCTCCTGCAGTAAGGATTTCCATGAATGCTGACATTAAGATGTTTATCATTTGTTAACTCTGCGTCGTTCTTCAGTAGAACGTTTAATTGCCATAGTAAACTGCCACTAACAGATATTGAAGAAGTAAACAATTGGGTGGCACTTCAAAATTATTGGTATATTGAGAGTCCTTACCCTTGTTCTTATCATTACCTTACACACCTCAGTGATGGCAAGCTGTAATTGCCGTGCGAAAAGGCTAGTTGCTAAGTTCAGTATAATACTAAAAGTGTCTTATAATCATGTTACGTTAAAAACATGAAATAAAAAGAGTTGAAGTTGGAAATGAGCTCAGGAGATTAGTAATTAGTGTACAATTTTATCTCCTTATCTTTTAACAGATAAATTATATTGTAGTTATTATAGCGCCATTCGTCCTGATATTTATTTCAGTGCATTTACAAAAAAATGACCACAAAAATGACTGTTTATTATTTTCGCATGTTTAGCTGTTCATCGCCAGTTGGTGGGAGGTACAGCCCTGACGAGAACGCGAGTCAGAAAACCCTTGGTCTATTTTTACATAAGCAGCAAACTACCCCTTATCACTCTTTTCATTGCTACGTGAGGTTTGAGACAGTCGCGACAGGGAAATTGGGCAATATACTTTCGTATTGCGACTGTTGTCTTGTTCAGCGCGTATCTAGCAGTGAAAAGAGTGGTAAATGGTCATGCCTGAAAAGGAACAGAACTATGATGATTCCACGTCTCCCGCAAGGGAAGCTGCTGAGTCATTCCCGAGGAACAATTTTCTTGTTATTGCGACGTGGTTCAAGAAATACTTTTGGGAAGGTAATGAGAGTATTAGCTTAAATACAAGTTAACTGAACTGTTGGTAAGTCTGGTACTACATGGAGGCCGTCCTCATTCACCATCACAATTAACCAACGAAATTTGATAAAAAAATTTCTTTGCCGTGATTAACCCGTAAAAAGAATAAATCCAAATGCCTTGTAAAAAGGGTTAACTTGTTTTATTACTTGGTAATGATCAAAAATTATGGCCTTTTAGAAAACTCCAAAATTGCAATGAAAAATAGCCAAGGAACCAAATGAAAATCGGTACTACAAAGATCCAGGGATAAAGAACCATCCTTTTTTTGACCATTCCTTCACTTATATATGTACCAACTTTTTGAAAATTTCAACAATCTCCGGCGCACTGTCTTGAGTTTTTCTGTCTACGCTTCTGCTTTTTTGGATGACATAAAAATATTTTGTCTTAACTGACTTATTTAAGGATTAGTTTATGCGCAATTATCTTTGCAGGTCAGTCATTGAGCATGAGACATGAAACAGCACTGAGAGAGAGTCTGAATGACAACACTCCATGGTACAAAGTTGTCCTGGTCAAACATCGTCGTGTTGTTGGTCTTCTTTTACCCGCCTTGTTCTTCCACTTTTTCTGGTGGGGAATCTTCATCAAGTACGATCTTTGGCATCTGTTTCTAGACAAGTACTACATGAGTATTACCATGATATTCGGCTCCATGATTGCAGGTTTGTATGCTACATGAGTATTAATTACTGCATGAGTGTTAGTCTGTGTTCAAGTACTAGTGTAATGTTGAGGAATGACTAGTCAATGCTCAGTTAACGCGCATTTATTTAGCTCTGGATCCACAAGGGGGGTTACTAATCACGAAAGAAGCGAAAGAGTTGCACAATCACCTGCGCGCTCCACATCCATCCTTATGGTAGGCAGCCAATCAGAACGCGCGTTATATAATACTTACGTCACGCATACTGAACAAGATATTTCACTAATTCCCACACAGGTAGCCCAAGCTTGGTTTCTGTGGTGTCCTGTTATAAGGAAATGTATGGGGAATCATCAAAAATTTCAATAAAATCATCAAAACGTGAAATAAAGCCTGGAAATTTTACCCTATCATTGAGAAATAGCACTTCTTTCGCTCTGCGTGGTTATTTTTTGAATTTAGCCCGTTTTAAGGATTTTTTTCCCCACCAGTGGAATGACAAGCGAAGGAGGAGCATCAATAGCTTATCCCGTCATGGCCTTAGCATTCAACATCAAACCAAGTGTAGCACGTGACTTCTCGTTCATGATTCAGTCATGTGGGATGTCGGCTGCTGCCTTCACTATCTTCTTTATGGTGAGTGAAACAGCTCACGTGACCCTATTAATACGAGCTACGTGCTACTACATTAATGGCCTACCAAATTGTAATCTTTCTTCTATAGCGCTAATGTATGCTGATGACACCAATTTAACTTATGCCTCAAGGGACCAGTCCCTAGCAATAATGACCTTAAGGAATTGAAGCAGTGGCTTGATTCTAATAACTGTATGTTTATTGGCACTAGACAGAAGTTTTAATCTTGATGGGGCAAACATTGAGCGCATTCCTTAAGGAATTGAAGCAGTGGCTTGATTCTAATAACTGTATGTTTATTGGCACTAGAC